TATATATATATATATATAAAGTATATTCCTTTGTTATTGCTCAGCAGCCTAATATAAATGGAAAGCAGGTGAATACATCTTCAGAAAATAATAAAATGTAGAAATGAAATACCAATGTGGATATGTGCAGTTAAAAAAAATCCAGAGTTATAACTCAATCTGTGCAGTCTTTGTCTTTCGTTTTCCTTTTAATAGCCTGGCTGTTACATAAGTGTCACCATTCAGGCTCTTGAAATTAAATATTAATCTTGAGCCGACATCTTCTGCAGCCATCAAAGGGCAATACAGGATGGTTGTAGGATTAACAACTCAAAAGATTTGTGTTTCTATGTGTTTGCCCTCTTACCTTTTGTTTTGGTCTATTTGACCTTGTTTCTAAAGTGTAAAGCCAAGTAGTCAACACAACGTAATCGTCAGGGCAGTGTGGGGGGAGCAGCGCTGTTTGGACATCTGAAAGCCAAATTATACTTTATATATTAAAGAATTGATCTGTGAGAAAAAGCACCGGTGTCTATCAGAGCCTAATTGATTAATTGTCTGGGCCAATTTATCAGCTGATCTCAGCTTATTACAGATACAGTTTATACAGTATAATGCTCATCATTATACACTCTTACCATCAGGGTTTCCCCTTAGTGTTTAATGGAAGAGGTTGACCATTTCAACCAGGTTGAAATGTAGTCTGCAAAGTCTCTTTAACGTGGCACAGATCATGCAATTACAAACCTCTGAAAGTGGTTTTGTTTCCTCAGGATGAGTACCACAGTACCCGTTTCTCCTCAAACCTGTGGAGGACTTATTCTTAATTTCGGTTGCATCGGAACTCGGCGCATAAAGAGCGGTTAGGCCTCTAGCCTCAGAATCTCATAGCTCAGTTGCAAGATAATTAGCATGACTAATACTGTGCTGAAATGATAGTGAAAGCAGCACTGTACTTGTGCGTTCCCGACTTGTGTATGCGTCATTGTTTAGTACGGAGTGACCGCTGGGTATGAGCTCCTAATGAATGGACTAAATGTCACAGTTTGAACATCTCACTAACCAGGTCATATCTGTCCATCTTCAATCTGCCCGCTGCAGGGGAGCGCATCCTGGGTCACCCAGAGGAGCCGTGCTACCTCTGGTTCGTCATGGAGTTCTGTGAGGGCGGGGACCTCAACCAGTACATCTTGTCCCGCCGGCCCGACCCCCAGACCAACCGGAGCTTTATGCGCCAGTTGACGAGCGCCGTGGCTTTCCTGCACAAGAACAACATCGTCCACCGGGACCTGAAGCCGGACAACATCCTCATCTCGCAGAAATCCGGCTCGCCCGTTCTCAAAGTGGCCGACTTCGGCCTCAGTAAAGTTTGCGCGGGCCTCAACTCCAAGAACAGCGAAGAACGCCCCGCGGCGGGCGGCAGAGGCAGCAACCAGAACAACATCATCAATATCAACAAGTTCTGGTTGTCGTCGGCCTGCGGCTCAGACTTCTTCATGGCCCCCGAGGTGTGGGAGGGCCACTACACAGCCAAGGCCGACATCTTCGCGCTGGGCATCATCATCTGGGCGATGATCGAGCGGATCACCTTCATCGACGCAGAGTCCAAGCGCGAACTGCTGGGCACCTACATACGGCAGGGCACAGAGATTGTCCCTGTCGGGGAGGCTCTGTTGGAGAACCCCAAGATGGTTCTCCACATCCCTCAGAAGGCCAGGAGCTCCATGTCCGAGGGGGTGAAGAAACTCCTCCAGGACATGCTTGCAGTCAACCCTCAGGACCGACCAGACGCCTTCCAGCTGGAGGTGCGGATGGACCAAGTCACGTGTGCTGCGTGACGACGCCCACCTTCCCAAGACCTCTCCCCATTTTACCCTAACCAGTCAAAGAAGGGACACCTTTCCTTCCCAGGTAAGCGCCACTTCCATCAGTGTTACTAGGAATGCTCTCTTTAAAGCTGCAGTTGCCCAAAATGTCACTATATCCTGACAGTAGGATTTGAGATAGATAATCTGTGAAAAAAGCAAGTTTCTCTGCCTTCTTTTGGTGCTTTTAATTGAATTTATAAGATCCCACCGGGCCCAAGAAAAACCATCAATCAGAGCCGAGGAGACGCAGCCGTCAATCACTGCTTGTCAACTCCAATCAAACTGTCAAACTAGGCAGCTATGATTGAGTATGAATCAAGATTCTGTCTTTTTTTGACTTTCTCGCCTCAGATGTTTTCAGAAACATATTTCAGTTACTGTTCAGCTTTGAAATTAGAAGGTTTGCTCCGGTCGGTGGGCGGTGCTTGGTTTTTGTTCGACTGTTTTCAACATAGCGGTAGGGTCTCAAAATTCCTAATTTACAGCTAAACAGTTACTACAATATGTTTAAGAATGTTGATTCATATTTGATTTGCGCTGCCTAGTTTGACAGTTTGATCATGAGCAGTGATTGGCAGCTTCGTTAGAGACTCCTTGGCTCTGATTGGTCGTTTTCCTTCGGGCACGGTGGAATCTTTCAAATATCATTAGGAGCAATAAAAGGAGGCAGAGGAACCACAATTTTTCTCCAAATTATCTGTCTCATGTACTGCTGTCAGGATATTGTGACAGTTTGAGCAAATATGCGAAAAATGTATTCTTATTCAAGCTACCAACTTCAGCGCTAAGTTAGTTGTGTGCAACTGGGGAACCAGCAGGTTTTTTTAGCCCAACCAAACCATACAACAGCTTATTCATCCACCTTTAACCAGAGAAGAGGAGCAGCTGAAGTGATTAGCGAGAAATAAAACCAGCAGGCTCCTCTGTGACTGACACAGGACTCACCAGCCCTGGCTTAAAGGGAACACTGGCCATTGGTAACCCAGGGCAGAAATCATCTAATCTTCCTTTCAGCTGACACCATTAGCCTGTCTGGACCGCCCCTCTGTTAATAGCCACCGGTGGTGTGAAGTCACTGTTATGGTTTGCAACATGTTAGAGTGTGTTTCAGAAACGTCCTGTCACTGCCCTTCATTACAACGAAGAGAGAAGCCATTACTTTGGTTACCCCCAGTAGCCAGTAGACATTTGTACAGGGCGAGTGTAAGATTTCAGAATGAAAGTCGGTGAAGCGTGTCTGTTTGAATCTATCATCCTTCCGCCATGACACACATCACTCTACATCTGGCATGAGTTCTAGTTAAACATACATAGGGGACATACATGGGGACTTCTTTAAAAGCATGATTCCAGTATGTTAGAATTTGCAGCAGTTTTATGAGATGTGGGAAAAACCCAACCATCACAACAACCAACTCGGACGGACCAAGACACATGAGCGCTCAGACAACAGTCCATCCGGACTATTTAAACCCTTTCATTTGGAGCTGAGGCTGAAGCGGGAAGTGGTTCTGTAAACTGTGATGGTTCTACAGCGGACAGGTTGAGAGATACTTTTACAGTTGACCTTTGGTTTCCTCTTCCTAATGTGGAAGAGGAAACTGCTAACCTGGCGATGTTGCTGCTCACCAAGGTTTTATCAACACGGTTGTCATCATAGATTGGATGATAGGAAAACTGAAATGAGATCCACGGTGTAATAAACTAGAACTATTTATTATCCTTAAAGGGACAGTTCACCCCCCAAAAAATCATATACGTATTTTTCCTCCCACATGTAGTACATGTATCAGTCTACATTGTTTTGCCGTGAGTTGATTCTGAATGATGATTTCTGGAAAGAGACTGAAGTAGTATTGTTTTTGGGCCATATAGTTCTGTTATATCGTAGACAAAGGCAGACATTATCTACAGCCCATATCTCCAAAACTAGGCAACTCACACCAAAGCAATATACACTGATAAATAGCACTACAGGTAAGAGGAGGAATATGTGTTTTTGGGGTGAACTGTCCCTTTTAACTAAATATCGAACAAAAAGTTTGGAAATTCGTGTTTGGTAGATTATTTCTCTGTTGTAACGATGCTTCTTGGCAATAAATGTTATACCGTTGGAAAGCCTGTTTATTTACCTTTTCAAACGGTGCCCCAATTGTAAGGAACATGCATTTGTGGGATGAGCAGCACAGCTGAGCATGTAGGTTGCGCCCATGAAAAATTTGCCAAATCTTCTCTGCCAATGCCAAACAGCTTATTCATTGCCAAGAAGCATTGTTACAACAGAGAAATAATCTACCAAACACTAATTTCCGAACTTTTTGTTCGATGTTTATTTTGACCGCAAGGCATCGGAAGACGTGTTGGCCTTGTCCCTTCACTGTTAGTTCCCAAGCATGACTGCTGCTCCTGATTTCGGCCAAAGCTTCCCACGTCACTGTCGAGGAAACAGAATTAACACGAGTATCTGTTGCACCGTCATCGGCGCACAAAGCCAAGCTATTGATTAACAGGATGAGTGAGTGACGTTAACGGAGGTAGCTCACGTGAGGTGTTATTATGACCTCGGGGTGAGGGATGGGTAAGAGCACAGCTACTGTATGTGAGCGGGAGGGAGGAGGACACAACCTGGGCCTGAGGGCAAAACGGCCTGGCTTGAAGTAGAATACACACAGTCAGGGTGTGAGAGAGTCGAGCTGAAAACAATGAGCTATCGGCAGAGATTAAGGATCGTCTGCATCGCACAGTACATGAGGTTTTTCTGGTTCATATTAACACTGGCTGTGATTAACCTCTCTTGTGACAACACGGAATTCAGTTCCCATCAAATACAGACTGTTACGCAAGTCACTTCCTCCTGTGATAGCTTCTTCCTTTTCACTGACGGTGGGCACTCATCCAAAACCACTTTCAACAAGTGCATCAAGGTTTAGTTACATTAATGTTGCTTATGTATGTTGACAGGAAAGGTGGATTGTCAGAAGGCTTGCAACGGATCATAAAAGTCACGATTGGATCGTATCACAGTGGTTTTGAGTCAGTGACCTGATCAGCAGAAAAAAAGGGGGAACTTTAATGTTCATGTAACTTTTTTGCCGTCGATATCGATTGTCAATCGTCAACGAGCTTTGTTACAGCAGCTGGTTTACGAGGCTCCGCCACGGTCCTTTGTTGAAGTCATTCTGTAGTTGTTGTTCGCATGAACACGATTCAAATGATTAGGAAATATGATTGTATTTTTATTTCCAAAATCATGGCATTATTAGCTTTAATGATGTTTTCTGAGCTCCTTAGAGCTAATATTAGGACGTTAAACGTTAAAGTCAAAATTCATCTCTAATATATATTTGATATTGCTGTAAAAACATCTACTTCAAACAACTGTATTTATTCAAGTTTCTCACCAAAACTACATTGTACAAGGTTACATTTGATTTACTTTCCTACAATACTCATTTTTACTGAATAACGCGTCTAACTCTAAGTTTTCCACTACAGCTATTGTAGTAGTAATGTATTTTTTTTATTTTTAGAAAAATGATAAAACTGTATTGTAAGTCTCTACTGACAGGAGAATACCATACTGTATAGCCTATTCATATTGTTGACCACATGCTGTTAGCTAGCAACCCTTGTAATATCAATACCGCTAGAATGACCCATACATACAGTGGGTGATTGTATTCACATTAACACACTACAGTACACAGTCTTTCACTCTTTATTTGTCAATGACAGAGTATTTTCATCACAGTTTTTGGAAATGATTCAACAGAATGCCGCCTGACAGATTTTTTTGGGGGAAATGATCTTAACCGTAACTTAATCATGACCTAGGACACCCCCCACCCCTAAATACACATACACGTGCAGCAGGAACTAACTTTCTTTTTGCTGTGGTGAGCGTGTAGGAAAAGTGTCCCCGTAACATGTTAATTGCCTCAGTTTGCTATTTAGAGTGGAAACTCCTTGTCGCACATCAATCAGCCGCCGAGTGGATGTTCAGTGACCCGAAAGCGTCCGTCTGTTTGTTTGAACTTGAACCCACCATTGACCGGGGCTAGGTCGGCGTTTGTTTGACAATTAGCTCTCCGATCCTGAGCTCATTCTCTGTTAACCCCTTACTGTAAGCCACCCCCTGCCCGCTCGCTCTGTGACGCCTCTCGGCTCCCAGATGTCAGCAGGGTGCACTGTGACGGTGTTGTTGCGTGCTAGTCAGCTGCTGCAGTTTGGCTTCGTTGTTGCGCGGCCATGATGGGATGTTGCATGTTACGCAACAGGAGTGGGACCGGGGAATTAGAGGCTGAACACAGAGCGATGAGGAGAGTCGTGTGTTTTTGTCAGGAGCTGACTGACCGAGGGTACGGTTAACGATACTCTCATCACTGACGACATTTACCACACACTCAATCTCTGGTCCGACACACGGAGGGACACATGGGGCTCATATCAGTGGGAATCTGCCAGATCAGTGTGGGGATGGAAATGTTCCATTTTGATCCTTTTCTTCTAACTTTAAAGCAAGGAATCTGTGTCTGTATGTGCGTCCTTCGCATAACTCCAGAACCGTCCGATCTTCTTCACACTTGGTGGGTGTGTTGCTGGGGACACAAGGAACTGTTAAAAGTGTTAAAAGTAGGTGCAATTTGGACACGCGACATGTTCAATATTACTAAACTTTTAAACAGCGCTCTGTGCAGCAGTGGGGGCGGAGCTTCAAGGCTCTGTGGACTGAGTCCAGCATGTCGTCATGGATAACATGCCAATAGATAAAACCGAATGCTGTCTTATTGAATCTGACCAATACTAAGACCCAAAGCAGTTATTCCATACCAGTAACGGCACAACAACGCAACCTAAATAACATTCTGGACTGTTTAAAGCCACCTCCATGATGTGTAATGTTAGCTAAACTAGCTAGCATTAGCTAACTTCATGGCGTTCCTCAATTTTCCAGTGTTGGAAAGTAACTAATTACATTTACTCAAGCACTGGACCCTAAGTACAAATTTAAGGTACTTGTACTTTACTTAGTATTTCTATTTCTTACTACTTTAAACTTCAACTCAACATTTCAGAGGCAGATATAGCTTTTACTTCCCTGCATTTGTCTGACCGCTTTAGTTGCTTTGCAGATTCAGATTGACAATACATAATATAAACATTAAATTAAATATGATATCATTAAGTCTTCATTGGTCCCCTGAGCAAAATTCACAAGCTTCCCAGCTGTCTGTTTAACTAATATATCATTAAATAAAAATTAGCGATAAACACATAATTAAAATCCAATAATATGATATATATTATTCTGAAATGGGCAAATTAGCATGTACTTCATAAGTACTACATGCTTCATAAGTGACTTTTGGCACTTTTAAGTACACTTTGATGCCAATACTTTTGTATTTTTAGGCTTCATTTGCGTATTCTAATCACAAAACAATTCTTACAGTGTAGAATTCCTCCAGAACGTCCTCCCTGACTTTAGTTCCTTATCTTGTCACCTTCTTCACTACTCTAAAGCTTACAGGTCTGCCTCACTCTACTGCGCTCCGCCTTCACCAGCTGTCAAGTGTGTGTCACGAAAAGAGATTATCCACAACTACTGTCAGCATGACTCTGCCTTTGAAAAGTTCCTGTTTGCTTAGAAGGGAACTATTTCTAGCACCATTTTCCCCATTTATGGGAAATGAAATTTAGCCGATAGCTAATGCTCTTTTTGCAGTCGCTGTGTTTGATGAGGTTGTACAAACAGCTACTTTGGTAATAATCAGTACGACGAGGTCCCTTCAGTGTGGGGTTGTGGTTTCCTACTTGCTCTTGGCTTTGTTCTGTCATTTCCAGTAAATATCTCAAAATAAATTGTGTTTTCTGTTTACAAACGTAAGAAGAAAGCAAGTACTACTCAGCCATCTTTTCCGCGGTTACGTCTCCAGTCTGATCTGGAGCACAGCTGATAGGTACGCGCTTTGTTTACATGACGTCAAGCTTGAGTTCTCTGCCGTCATTACGGTTGTTATTGAATTATTGGTATTTCAGCCTGGCCTACCGTAACATTTCATCTTCAGTAAATGCAAGTGATGATGTGTGACTCCCTTCTTGCGGTAGATAGCTGCGGTAGTGCTGCTTTTTTTTATTGACAACTGAACATAAATTTCCTTATTTGAATATCTGGTTTTTTTTGTCTTCATTTAAAATGTATATTCTTATTTAGAATAATTGTTGACAGCCCTGGTTCCCAGTGCACACAGTGCAAATACTAAATATTGAATGACATGCATCAGGAATGGGAAATCCTTATAGAATCTATAATGTCAGCATCATAACGTCATCATGTGCACGTCTGTTTAGTGTGACGTCCCCCTACCCATCTATCTCCCCCATCTCCCCCTCCTCCCTCTTCTCATTGCTGGACAATGAGAACGCCGCTCCTGGTTCAGGGATTATGGAAGCTTGCTTCTGGAACATTTTGTCCTCTCGCTATCTGCCAGCTGCATGCCGCCTCTGTCTAAACCAGGCCAGGGTGCTGTAAGCCCCGGTCCCACACGTGTACAGTCCTCACTCTGGGAATCCTTTCTGATTCCACCGGCGGCGTGGACAGGCTTTTTACAAGTCGAGGCATTGTCAGGGTGTTGTCCTCGCACTGCGTGCATGAGCACCCCCACTGTAACAAACACACTGATGCCTTCAAGCAAACTTCTCTTTGCACATGTCTGCCATCTTATCTGAACACTGCAAAGCGGGACGCGTTTGAAACAAAAGACAGCGGCGTCTGAGAGGATGCTGATGTTGCTCTCCTCAAGGAAATGAAGTAGCTTGGACAGCAGTTTGAAGGCTGGGTACGCTATGTTCTGGCTCAGTCGGGAGGGGTTATTGAAGAGGAGCTGAGAAATGCCAGAGGGAGGCCACCTTTATACGATTTTGGGAGTTGGTGTTATAAGCGCATTGCCGTTCTTATGCAACCTGGTTATAAAAGTGAGGCGGTTGTAAATATTTTCTTTCGGGCCCTCAGGGTTCAGAAAGAAAGAACTGCCAAAACAAGTTCCTACACAAACGATTGGCGTAGAGCACGTCTTTGTGTTTATTCAAAAGGAAAAGTTTGTGTCAAAAGTCTTTTTTATTTTTTGTGTTATTTGTCCATAAAAAAAAGTCTAGAGCCTTCCATCACCCGGCACTGTCCAGGAAACCCCGTCATCCCACGGTGCTCTGGAATAACATGGATCCTCATCTGTTCCACTCCGCCTTCCCCATTCATTCTGCTGTGTTGGACCTAATGGGCTGTAAGCTCTTTACACCGTGGTAATCTCCTCACAGTGTGAGCACCATCTATAACAGCCTGAGCATCGCATCCCACTGCTGGCGCCGTACGTGGTCATATTTGGGCCTCGCAGTGGATCGTCTTTCTTTACTCTGGTACACTGTTGTATTGACAGTTCATAACATTCGAATGGTTGCACCACAGCTGACGGGGTTCAGTTTGACCTGTAAATAATAGATGTAAAGAGACGCGGGCCGCATCTGTTGCAGGGGCCAGAGATTGGCCCTCCTCCCTCTGATATTACTTTAGGGTTTCATGCATTCGCTCCGTCACCGCTGCTAGCAACTGTGCGCTCTTTCCCGAGACATAAGAACTTCAAGATGGTAGGATTACCCGCGGCGCACAGATGGTGGAACAAACAAACAGAGAAACAAACCTTTAGCCAATGTGGGGCTCGGCCTTGGAACAGATTTCTCCTTGTTCACGTTTAGTTTGTATTTTGAAACCGTACAGAACCAGAACCTCTCATTTGTTCAATTTCTCTGTTCTCGAGACTTTATAGAAAGAAAGTATTCAGTATTTAGACAAATATTTTCAGTGTGACTGGTGTTATTCTAGACTCTTTTAATGGCAGCTCCGTTTTACTAGAAAGCGTAAATCCTGAAAGTCATTTCAACGCTTGAAAAGTTTAATTGTTGGTTTTGTCCACTGGTTACTTCCACCAAGGAGGTTGCGTTTTTGGCCCGGTTCGTCTGTCAGCAGTGCTGACAATGTTAACCCGGGGAGGGGGAACCGGAGCGTTGGTTCAGCCACCGATGATTGGGAGGCCGTTATCAGAGCGCAGTGCAGAGCAGCTGTCATTAGCTATATCCTATATATCTCATATATTTTAATTCTCTGAATGACGCACATAAAACCTTTAGCATTGTGAGATCAGGTCTGCGCTCTCCGAGTGCCCTTCTAGTTATTAAGGGTGATGACCATATTGCACAACCTCTGCATTTGCTGGGAATGCTTTGTCAGTTTTTGCATTAAGATGAACTGGGAGGCACACACCTAAACTTACAAAATGAAGCGTTTAAACATGAACATCAGCCAAGAGGAATGTATTGCTTTGCTGCACAGCCCATAAAACCACCCGGGGCTCGTAAAACGGCAACACGCTCCTTCTCCTCTCCAACTGGTTATTATAGAGAGCTGTGAGAAACCAGCCCCCACCACTTCCCCAAAGATACCGGTCTCTGCTGGTTTTTTAACGAGGTAGTAGTTTTAGGTTATGCAACGGCAAATGGCTGGCAGGCTGGCTGAGGAGGCAGCAGGCCTCAGTTTGTCCAGGATCTGCAGGGCGACGACGTTCACCTTGTTTTCTTTGTCCTGCTTATTCATGTAGCAGTAATATCTCCCACGGGGAAATAAGCAGAAAAATGATATGTTGACTTGAGAAAGGGTTCGACCAGAACCCTTTACATGTCTTTAGACTACATACCGTATGGACTAGTTGGCACACTGGAGCTATTATGTATTGAAAATGTAATGAACAGCTGCCCCTACTCTGTGTGTTTCTCTGTGCCTGTTGTCCATCGGCAGCCATGCTCAGCCGTCTCCACTTTTAGAGCCCCGTGGTTGCAATAGAAATGCTATTAAATTCTGTGTTGTGCACCTTTAATTTCGTGTATGTGTATATGTATATGACAATAAAAATGGTTTCTTCTTTTCTTCTAAATGTTCCAGGTGTGACAGTTTGGGTTTGTGCGCACTTGGAAGTCCCAGACTAGCATTTGACTAATAATCATAGGAGCATCATCATAATAAAACTGTCTCATGTAAACACCTCGAGCAGAAAAAACAAATGTTCCTTCTGTCTACAAACCTGTCAGTCTATTCAGCAGATGAACGTTTGTCATGCAAACGCTCCTTCAGAGTTCTTTGTTTTAAGCGTTTGCTTGCGTTTTCAACCACATGCCCGTTAGTAGTTATTAAGAGCTTCCAGATCATAGCGGCTTGCTTCCTCCTGTTTAATACCAGCGTCTGCTTCGGCAGAAAGCACAGCATTACACAGAGTCTTTGTGAAAGCTTTGCTAATGGAGCATTTACTGATGAAATAAACCAAATATCTCGCAGTATCATTCACTGTAGACATTTAGAATGTAATAATGATTGCTGATATTTTTTTCCACTTCGAGCCCTGCTGCTTACAGTCTGTGTTGTCCTTAGTCAGTGTGGAGTCACGTAACCCATCCATGGGGAGATGTATAGTCAGGTATGTGAGGCATGCTCCTTAAACATGGGTTCCGAAAGTTCAAACGGGTACAACGTTCCCTCACAGCTGCTCTCGTAAAAACAAAAATGAAACTGCTGAGTGCTGAAGAATTAGAGCCCAGTGAGTTCAGACACCTCGGGGCACCACGAACTCACAGGGTTCACCTCAGAAATGAATCCTTTTGTGTGTCCAAAGATCGAAGATGAAAAAAAGAGATGGAATCAGCGACCAGTGGCCTCTGTCTACCCCCGGCCCAGAAAACAGATCGATAGCGCCTGGCTGTTATTCAGTACAGTAATGGTGCCGATGTGAGGGTCCTGGGACAGAGGATGTTGTATATGTACAGATTGTAAAGCCCTCTGAGGCATTTGTGATTTGTGATTTTGGGCTATAAAAAATACATTGAACGACGTTGGACGTATTCTATAAGAGGATGAAACCTGTGGACTGATTGTCTTTTTTCTTTACCACATACTGTATTACACTGTAAACATATGAGGAATTCAGAGTGCTCATCCTCAGCAGTGACATAAGCACTTTCCATGTCTCTATTGGGCACATCATCCCTGATTCACCATCCCCAACATGCGTGCTTCCTGCTAAGCTGACCCACTTGTGTTCATACCATGTGCTGTGAGGCTTATGCAACAAACCGCTGCTAGCACAAGCTGTGGCACGCCAGCCTGCTGGGCTATTATTAGAGCACAGCGCCGAGCTCAAGCTGGACGCACATCTACAGGTAGGGGAGACGCTCAGGGTGTCTAGTGGGGTTGTCGTTTGGCTGCAGGTGGGTGTGGATGCAGTGACTTCGTTGTACGTATAATGTGAGATGGAGACAGCTCATGTGACACACGTAGCAATGAACGGGCAGTGGCAGCTTCACTCGAGGGAATTGTTGTTTTCGCTCTTCTCCTGACTGGCTTCAACATCGATTTACAGACAACTGTGCCACCTGCCAAGTATTTTTTGAAAGTGCCCGCCCTTTTCCAAACGGTTTCCAATGATTCCAATGAACAAACCAGGCGTGTCAGGTTACCAACACACATGGATAGCATAGGGCTGCGCTATATATCAATATTATATCAACATTGTGACACTAGACAGGATATTGTTTGAGTGGTTGGATACGGTAACATGCCATAAGTCTTGTCTTTTGCTGCATTACAGTGGCATTACAAGTGATGTCATATTCTGAACCCACGAAATGTTATTTTCCCCACTTTTTATCCACATCACTGATAATTCATCAAAAATGTCAGTAAGTGAGTCAACCGTACAATATAGATATGAAGGTATTTGGTATCTCAGAAACCCAATGGTAGCCAACAATGTTATGAAAAGCTATAGGACTGGAAATGGGTCCTCATTTGAAGATTTCTGTCTTGTTGCTCCTTCTGTCTTGTTGCTCCGTGCTGACCTGTTCACACTTTGTGTCTCTGCAGCTTTGTTTACTACATGGACGTGGACTCCGTTGGAAATAAAAGAAACTCTGACAAACTGAACTGTGAAGAATCCACAATCATGATTTGAGCGGGAAGCGATGGACCAAAACTCTGGGAAGGGAACCGTATGCAAAACCAGACCACAGCAGTGCTCTTCTGGCACCACGCAGTTCCAAGTGGCCGTCACCGTGGAGCTGAGGACGTTTAACTGGTGGATGATGGGTGTGATGACCGGGTTTATGACATGCATTGTTTTATATTTGTCGGTTTGTCCCCAACAGCCCCAGTGTAGGCCTGCTCTTCCTTTAACATGTATAATGTAGAGGTAATGTGCTAGACTGCACCAGCACCTGGAGGTCAAAGCATCACTTTACTGATGATGGTATCTGAATCACTATGAACAACAGACGTCACTACCGGTTTGCTCCGCCCCCTGTACAACCCCGTGCCTTAAAGATGATTCACACCAAGTGCGATTGGATCACGAGTTAAAACGATTCGTTGGGTTAAAACTCACACAGCAGGACAGAAACTACACCGGTTTCTGTCTGCAGAAGAAAACGCAATTGATCAATGGAATATTTGGCTTTCAATGATGTCACTTTTTAAACACAATCCCCCAGGGCTGCACTAAGGTCACGCGAGAACGCGATCCGTCGGTGGCCGTCCTCCACTCAAAAGGCTCACATGCATTCATGATGACTCAAGCTCAAACTGTTACTAACATGAAGAAATGGCCACCGAAGATTTTTGTATCCGTGTCACGTGTGCGCTCATGTTCAGAAAGAATATTTCACAAATCAAGGCAGAACAAGTGTGAAGGATGTTGTTTTGAACGTGTTCTATAGGAACCACACCTTTAGAAGTAGCAGGCCTGTATCCACTCCACACAATACTGTCCTACTGTAACCAAACAAGGTTCCGCAGGGAAGCCAGATTAGTGTTAATGTTGCTGTTGAATCCAAAAAGCACCTGTTGGATAGAAATGCGTATATCTGTTTAGAATCGAACTAACGCGTGACCAAGAAACAATCAAGATCAAGGTGGGCTGATGGTTTTTGGTAACTTTGTACTGAATGTTCTTGTTTTTTTCCTTTTTACATTGAGGTTGAGTGTGGCGTTTTAGGAGTGTAATACAATACAGTTCAAGATAGCAAGTCAGTGGGTACCCTGCAATCATCATTAAGAGATAGTGAGACATTGATCCGGGCTCCACCGTGAGGGTTTGAAGGGTTCTTGTTGGTGTGATATGAACAGTGTTTGAGGGGTCATTCTAGCAGTATTAAGACGCCTGTTGACCATTTTAGAGACTCTCGGGGAAATTTGCAGATTTGCCATCTGGAAACAATCCCCAAAAAGCAGTCGCATCCTGACTGTCTCCTTTTCTTCCTTCCCGTCTTTACTGAAGTGCTTCGAGCTCTCTGCAGCGGCACGTAATGCAGCGTGGAACACGTTCGGTTAGTTAATCCACAGCCGAGGTGGTACTAGAAAAGATGGAAAGAACAAAATGCAAAAGTTCAAATGCACAGAATAATTGGCCTTCACTCTCAAACACAGACCACAGGAATGACCAAAAACCTCCCTCTGCTTTCAGTCCAGTGACTCTGCAGTAGTAGTAGATTTAAAGGGACAGTTCACCCCAAAATCAAATTATTTGTACCTTTTACCTCCAGTGCCATACATCAATTAAATCAGGACCGGGATACTCAAGATAATCCACAGACTTGTGAGTTTCATCCACCAGAAGCCGAGTGACATCTAGTTCCATTAAATGGGAGAGAAGGCAGACATCTCTACGGCCGATACCTCCAACACTAGGCAACTCGCACCCAAATTATCTAGACTGATAAGCACCACTACAGATGGGAGGAAATGTGTGTGGACTGTCCCTTTAAAGGCGTAGTGTGGTCCTACCTCATTCTCAGCACTTTGAAACATTTTATCTACCTTAGTTTCTGCTCGAGTGGGATCGATGTTTTACCTCAGACTCTCTCTCTCCTATCTTGAGCCCATCTTTGGCTGACTTCTCCGTGTGGCATTTTGCTTAGCTACAAGTAATACTTAGCTTCTGCCTTTACGACGACTGCATCAGCAACACCTGTCCGCTTCTCGCTTAATGGCTGCATTGCAGAGATGGTCCACAATTCTGTCATTTTCATTCAACATCTACAGCTCCTATAAGACTATATATGGCCCAAATTAGTTAGTGTGACAGCGACCATGTCTTCAAAGAAAAGGGGTTCGAGCTGTTGCCAATGGCCACTCTCAAAGAAAACCCTGCTGTTACAGCCTCCTCGAGGAAGCAAGTTCAGATGAAAGTGCTTCCTTCTGAATGTTCAGTTTGATCTTAAACTGGTGGTGTTCCTGAAGGTGTAGGACTCATGAACGTACAGGGATGGCAGGAGCGTTTGGGATTAAAATGTTTAGCGTTGCTGCTCTTTGACTCTCATGGGTGCTGTAGTTGTTGACTGCTAACACACCTGTTGCTTATGTTAAAGCACGATGTTCAACTTTCACTTCTAGTGTAGCGCATAGCAGATGTGTTATTTACTCTCAGATGTTTAGTCTCTGACCTGCTCTCTGTACAAGTACAAGCATTGATCCTAACATAGGTAAACTTGTATATGGAATTGCTGTGGTGATAAGCTAACTGAGGATCTTTACAACTACTTCAAACTGTCCACCTGTTGTCACTCTCCTTTTTTCTATGAGCCATTTCATTTCAGTCTCTTAAAACTAGCAATGATTCCACTTGAAAGACACTAAACACTATGCAAAACATTTCACTGCCTCACCGTCACCACCGTACAGACAGCCACACCGTTGTCAAACAATCGTGTGTAACATCTCAAACTTTTCTCTTTTAGTGCATATGTTTCCAGTGCGTACAGAAACCGCATTCTGTTAATGAAGCTGACCGGAGCCATTCGATGTTTGAGTAAGCATCGTGTTTTGCTGTAAATATGTTTGACAACTTTTCTTGGAATAAAATGATCAAAAACTATGATTGTCTGGATTATTTATATATACAGTGGGTACGAAAAGTATTCAGACCCCTTTAAATTTTTCACTCTTTGTTTCATTGCAGCCATTTGCTAAAATCAAAAAAGTTCATTTTATTTCTCATTAATGTACACTCAGCACCCCATCTTGACAGAAAAAAACAGAAATGTAGAAATTTTTGCAAATTTATTAAAAAAGAAAAACTGAAATATCACATGGTCATAAGTATTCAGACCCTTTGCTGTGACACTCATATTTAACTGACATGCTGTCCATTTCTTCTGATCCTCCTTGAGATGGTTCTACTCCTTCATTGGAGTCCAGCTGTGTTTAATTAAACTGATTGGACTTGATTAGGAAAGGCACACACCTGACCATAAAGCAGGGGATGCTTTAGGGCGGGGCTACCTTGTGATTGACAGGTTGCTACTGACACAGAGGAAACGGATACCCTCTAATCTTAACTCTGCGTTTGTAAATAGTTATCTGACTAATTTTGGAACACTGAAATTATAGTGAACAAGCTGTTGAGGGCTGTTTTCTGATCTATGTAGTTGTATAACCAACCAAGCTGTACGCTATCTGGACACAAATCCGAATTTGTCTTTTGACTGACATTTGGCTGAATAGGCAATGACCACAGTTTTAAGGCGTACTAGTGATGAACTGTAACTCTTTGATTTCTGTGGCTGCCGTGCCGCATAGCAAAATGAATATTGGTTTGTTTTACAGCGTCTATGTCCCGTCACTGTTTATGTAGGTGCAGACACCACATGGAGGAAGTTGGTTTCCCACAGTTAGCGCTAATCCCCCGGATCCTCACGGGATTATCCCATGGGGTTTGTTTTATCAGCCCAGAATCACCAGACGAGCTCCACTCTTTGATCACCACCAAAACTACAAACCTATCCAGCTATTAGGTGGTGGTGTTTTTTCTTTTTCTTTTGTTGCTAAAACCCCATGTTGCCTTCAAAGATTCCAGGGAACACAATCCATACATCTGATTTATCAACAGATGAATCTGCATTGAGCTATGTTAACATCACATTAGTATTAAACTTATTTGGTGAAAACAGCCTTTTTCTGGCCCTTGTGCCTTTCCTTGATATCTTTAAACGCTGTTTTATAACTTTCCAATCAGCACCCACAAATCAGCATGAGTTTATGGTCTCAATCTCTAGTTTCAAGTCTTCTTCAATACAGCATGATGTTCATTTAGTAAATTTAGTAAAAATGGTACATTTAGATAAGCAGGGGATGCTTTAGGGCGGGGCTACCTTGTGATTGACAGGTCTCTACCACACATTGTCTGGGAGTTTTCTCTGTTTTCGTCTTAGAAGTTTTCACTTCATACTTTGGTTGCTTAAAAATGTCTTATTTAGCATTTGTTTTTTTTCATTACTTACTGACCATTTTTTGCTTATCTCTCTTGTGTGTTAAACTGCTTTATGGAAATGTAACACCAAATCACTCGAAATGCCCTTTAAGACGTGGGAGGAGTTTGTGTATGTTTGTACTGTACTGTACTGTACTGTGTGGAATGTCTTTTCTGTAGGCTTCAGGAAGAGCAGCAGCTGCAGTGGTAGCAGCTGGTAGGGCTAATAGAGAAAGAATAACAGAGCAGTGATCTTATTGGCTCAAAGAAATTGGAATACCCCCTGCCATATTGAGTAAATATGGAATTATAAACAGCTCCCTGGGAGATCAGTGCTGCCATGTCCCAGCCCCGGTCAGACACAAAGCCCTGCTCCATGCGACCACTGTCATTAGGCTGCTCTATTAATTGGAATGTGCAGATTAATGATAAGCGGGGACCGGAGAAACCCCAGTATGGACACGCTCAGACAATGCCCCACACACACTACACAGCAGACAACAATATGTCAGTGTTCTGTGCTCTTTATGTTCAGCTGGGTACACAGTGTACAAAGGGGGGAGGAGCAGGGAGGAGGGGGCAGGGGGGGGGGGGGGGGAGCTATAGGCACAGAAA